TGCTGGCACGCCTCAGCAGCAGCTTATCATCGTTGATGAGCAGCGCTTAGCTCAGTGTTAGGCACCTGGCTGCTAATTAATGCAGAAAGAATGAATAAATGAAAGAAAAGGCTATAGAATCAGCTTATGCAATGGAGATTTTGCTCCTCTAGCTCCACCAGTTGGCAAGACCCTTATAGCTAAAAATAGCTCCACCATCTCATCTGAAAGACTGGGCTGACCAGAAAGTAGGTCAGACTAAAAATAAGGCCTGCGCTTGACAAAACTGATCTGCTTTTTTATATACAAGTTCGACTTTTTAAAATTCCACATGTAAATGATATCATATAGTAATAGTCTTTCTCTGTCTTATCTCACTTAGTAAATAAGCCATAGAGAGCTAATGCATGGTATAATGAATATAGACAATAATATTGTACTTTAATGATGTGATAAATATTGCTTCAGTGGCAATTATATTACAATATATAAGTGTATCACCCAACTGGCGTGGCTCAGTGGTTGAGTATCGACCTATGAACCAGGAGGTCCCGGTTTGATTCCTAGTCAGGGCACATGCCCAGGTTGTGGGCTTGATCCCCAGTAGGAGGCATGCAGGAGGCAGCTGATCAATAATTCTCTCATCATTGATGGTTTCCATCGCTCTCTCCCACTCCCTTCCTCTCTGAAATCAATAAAATATAATTTAAAAAAATATATAAATGTATTCAAGTAACAGGCTATATACCTTAAATTTATCAGTCTTTTTTCTTTTTTACACAGAGACTGATCCAGGGCATACCCTGTTCCTCCCAAACTCCTGCAAGCCTCTAAAGCAGTGGTTCTCAACCTTGGCTGCACATTAGAATCACCTGGGAATCTTTTTAAAATCCTCATTTCTGGGCCTCATCCTCCAGAGATTCTGTTTCTTGTTATGGGGTGGGGCCACAACATTAGTAACAGAGACAGAATTTTTGGAGGATGAGGCCCAGAAATGAGGATTTTAAAAAGATTCCCAGGTGATTCTAATGTGCAGCCAAGGTTGAGAACCACTGCTCTAAAGGCTGCTTCTAGTCTGGCTGTGTAGGAACAGCCCCACAGGAAAACCCTGTTTCCCTCAACTACCCTTAGCCAGAATTACACCAGCATATTTTGAAGTTAATTTTCAACCATGGTTCTACTGGCTGGAACTAGGTTCCCTGGATTTAGAAAAAATAAATAAAAATTAACATCAGGAGTTGTCCATACTTGTTTTTGGAGGGAATGATTATGTGTGAATCCATAAATGTCACCTGTTGACTGCAATGAAGTTTTCTGTGGTCACAGTGTCTACACTTGCCTGCTGACAGGGTGTCTATTACAGTGGACATGAGGCTGATCTGACTGCAACATTTGTACCCATTGATGCTATTAAATTCTGTAGGAACCTGGTAGAAAATTTGGGTATAAAGAAGTCTGGCTTTGAGACTTCAATCTGCCATGTACAAGCTATGTGTGTGCTCTTAGATCAATTAATCTCTTGGCAACTCAGTTAATCTGCAAAATGCTGGTAATGCAGGTATCTGTCTACTTAAGTGAGTTACTTAGATTAAATGAAATAGCGCATACGAAGTGCTTATCCAATCACGGACCCACCGCCAGGCTGCTGGGCCAGCGTGGCTCAGTGGTTGAGCATTGTCCCATGCATTAAGAGGTTACTGGTTCAATTCCCAATCAGGGCACATGCCCAAGTTGCAGGCTTGATCCCCAGTAGGAAGTATGCAGGAGGCAGCCGATCCGTTTCTCTCTCTCCCCCATCTCTCTGAAAATCAATAAAAACACTGGCCTACCCTCTTTACTTCCACTGTTTACAGGTGCAGTGCTGCCACTGACACTGGGCTTGGCCATCACTGTGTTGCTGCTTCTCATGGTTGCTTGCCGACTACGCCTGCTCAAACAGAAACTGAAGAAAGCTCGTCCCATTACATCTGAGGAATCTGACTACCTCATCAATGGGATGTATCTCTAATAAATGTAACTTAAGTAGCTGGGGCAAGGACGTTTCACTTGTAATTTATGCGTATACTGGGTTTTGGATATTTAGAATCTTTTTTTTAACTGGGCTAAGAAAAGTATGGAAAACCCAGAAGATTCTACAAGCCCCAAACCTTTGTTCTTATTTATTGTAGAAATATTTCCCTTTGGAATTATGTGAAATATTTTGAAATTTAGAGGAGTCCATACAGTTAAAGACTTACAATCTAATTCTGATTTATGTATGCTGTCCCTGAAAATAGAAATTTGTAGTTAGCCAAGACAGAAAATTTAGTATCTCAAGAGGTGGCCTTAGAACGGCAGTGTTAACAACTCCGTACTTTTTAGAAGCCATGGGCCCCTGGCCACCCTGTGCCACATGGTGCACGACTTCCCCTTGTTCTGTGGCCCTCCTATTGCTCACTTTACCCTTCCATAGCTCTCCCTTCTCCTCTCTCCTGCAAAACCTGTTTCTGAGAATGGACCTCAAGTGAGATGTTTCCAGCACCTCTGACATCATGTCATGTAGGTAGCTGCCTCATTAGGCTGACCTTTGGGAGGAAAAACTCGGACTGAATTACAAATAGCTCTAACATGGGCATGAAATGATACAGGAAATCGAAGTGGAAGGAGAGAACCTGGCAGGTCAAAAATTGTAACCGGCTTCGCTGAGCGCAAAGTGAGCTAGGAGGACTACAAGTACTTTCTTGCGCCTACTCCACACTGCTCAATGGTCCAGAACACAGCAGCTCATTTTTATAAAAGTCACCAGTTCTCACATTAGTCTGTATTGATGGGAGAGAAAAGTGCATTTAAATTGAAAAGCAGAATGATGAGTGGATTTCTGGGTGCCCCTTTGGTAAAAATGTCACATGTTTACATATTAGCTGGCTGTTTCATCCACTGGAATGAGTTTTTCCCATTATTTATTTAATGTTATAATGTGCAGTCAGCTAACGCCAGGCTATGTATTCTCAGAGCATAAAACAGTTTTGCACAAATTCATCTTTATAGAAAACTGGCATCTAGTTTAGCATCTCTTCTTTTAGGTTTGTTTTTTTTTGGTAGGATTTTAAAGGCAAATTATTCCCATCATCACCTAATGCCAGAATTATACATTTTCTAGAAATTATTCTTCTGAGTGGACTACAGAGTGTGATGCCTGTCTATACTCACATGATGTTCCTATTTACATAATGTGTTTGTGTTGTTGTTGTTTTTTTACCGTAAGTGGCCAATCTTTTCAAATTCTAGGACACATTTTCAGAATGAACCCGAGATAGGTTGTTCCTTTAGCAAAGAGCTTAATTTGGATTGGAGATATAACCGAAAACATTAACAAATGAGAAGTTAGTTCTAGAAAAATGGAAATTGGTTCCTTTTATTCCCTGAAAATGTCAAGCATTTTATTGAGTTTAGAACTGAGCAAAGATTTAAATTTTTCCTCAAGGACAGTTTAGAGAAATGACTGTGAATGAACTTAAGTTGTTTGTACTCGCTACGTGATGCTGTGCCCTTTGTTTTCCAAGGAAGGATGTCACTTACAGCCATACCCAATAAAATAAAAACTGTCAAGGCATGTCTTTCAGCACATCTTTTATACATGAAGAAATTAAACACAATTTAGTACTGCAACGATGTTAAAATACATGAGAAAAGATGTCCCATGTACAATAGTCTGTTAATAAATTATACTTGATTCTTAAGCCTTAACAACTTTTTAATATAATCATAAGTTGCCAATATTTACTGAGCTGTACTATCTTACCTGGGTTTAACCATACCAACCCTATTTTACAAAGAGGGAAATTAAGGATTAGAGAAGCAGAATCAAGAGCTTCAAAATACACTGCCAGATGGACTGAACAGGACTTTTTAAAGTCAACTTACCTTTTCATTATATGATTGAAAGAGTTCTGCATCTAAGACAGTTTAAAAATAATTTTAAAGGGAAAGTTGTCCACAATTTACCTCTCAGACATGTTTGTGTGCTTCACATCTCTTTTCCTGAGGAAAGGCCCACTGAAACAACCTTTCTGAAAACTTGAAATTCTTTCCCGCCATCCTCAGTGCAAGTAGACTGCAGCTACCCTTCCATCCTTCCACAAGCATTTCACGTTTCAAGTCATCCAAGTATCAAATGTTCTCCCTAGCAAATAACAGAATTTTTTTCATCTTTCTCCAAGACTTCACCTTTGAAACTAACTCAAATGATACCGAGTCAAATGAGGGTTCATGGCCTACGTCCAGAAGCTATACCAACAGCAGCAAACTGAAGCCAATACAGAACTGAAATTCGTAAGGTTTGGCCACCAACGAATGCCAGTTTCCTGTGTCTAAGATCTTGCCCCCAAAGAGACACTAGAAGATGCAGGCATAATTTTTTAAAGCCATTTTTAAGGAAGAAATGTTTAGGACGTTAAGAGGTGGGGGAGAGGTGCCTTGCATCCTCGCTCAGCATTCACTTGCTAGAATCATACATACTTGGGCATAGCAGTCGGAAGGGCTTTGCTGGGAGTGCTAGTTCTGCTAGCCCTAGTGCTCATGTTGCTTTGAGCTCTGGAACCCTGAGAAAAACCAAGATCCCACTATAAAAGGTCTAAAGCCACAATATTAAACAAGATTCCAAAGTGTTACTGACTTTTTGAAATTCATTTATAGTCTTTATATTAACAAAGCCTTTATAGGTGAGAGATGGGTTTTGGTAAATTTAGCCTCAATGCAGCTCTTCCCTGACATTCAGTCAATTCATTTGCTCATTCATCCTGCATTTATTGTACATCTACAAGAGGACAAACCCTGTGTTAAGCAAAGAAAAATAAGTGAGGTGTAGTCCTTGTCCTCAAGAAACATAGTTACATTCATTGTGCAAATGTACAACTGAATTAATGCCACTCATATTTGACAAGATGGAGCATCAGAGAAATAATCTTTTCTGTGATCTTAATCAACATTCTGTATCTGGTGACATGCTGTTCTTTATTCTACATTCAAACACCACCAATGCCTCTTTTACTTTTAACTTTATTTGGCAAAGCAGCACTGCATAAACTGTTCGGTAACTAAGACACAGCTTACACAGCATGTTAAATTCATACATTAACAGCAGCAAGTTAGAAACAGAAGGAATAAAACTAAGCTACAAGTCTAATATCATTTTAAAGAGAAATGAAGAACTATGTCAGTTATGTCCAATCTGAACTGCTGAGTGTTAAGGAACATCACTTTCCACCTTCCTAAATATTAATATTTACAATTGCTTAGTTTTAAGGTACCAAAGCAGCTGATTGTATCTACAACATGCTATTCTATGACACCACATCAAAAGCTTTAAAAAGGGAGCTCATCTCTATTTTCTTAGTAGCATCTCACAGACATCAAAAAAAACAAAGAATTTTAACTTATGAATGGTGATGTTATCTGATACACAAACGCAATCTGAAAAATTAATATTGGAACAGAATTTAAGTGTCTAAGAAAAGAAAAACCACTCCTCCAAATCAATTAAAAAACTAACTTTCCCATTTTGCAGAACGCCTTCGCTTAATATTTTAAAGTAAAATGTATACTTTGCATCCTTTCTCTACCAATTTGGCTTTTGTGCCTCTTTGAAGAATTAGAAACCCTACAAAACCACACATTTTCATGCTGAAAAAAAGAGTGTAACAAAGTCCAAAACAAGCTGTGATGCTGTGGTTTTCAAAAGCTTTGACTGAGATGAGCAATCCACTGTAATATTATATACTGGTCAAGCTGATGTTGCTTTTACAGTTCGTCCCTGGGGGGGGAAAAAGAGAGAAATGTGTAAGCAGGAGTTACATACTGCAAAACTTGACTTTCTAATAATTCAGATACAATTATTAAATCAGTAAAAATACACGGATCCCCAAGCAATATATTTTTAAAATAAAAAGAACAAACGGTCCCAAGTCAAAGCAAAAATGGAAATCAGCCATTTCAAACATCTCTCATGCAAATTAAGAATGAAGTATGAAACCTAAAGTACCTGATTTCTTTTCTTTTTAATTCTAAAGATAACCTTCTGCTTTCAAGACCAAAAATTCAGAGAAATTAGTTTTAGATCTAGGATCTTGCTAATACTATTGTAAAATGATGACAAGTATTTGAGTCCAAGTAAATTTTTACAGTTACAGTCACAGAATTGGACAAAAATTTAGCTTTTTGCTTAGAGTATGTTAGGAGTTGTTGAATGGGTCAATATCAACCCAAACTTTTTTGGGGAAAAGCATCATCTGTAGGTATAATATACCTGTCAGCTGATTTCATAAGGCAGCTTTATCAGCTCCAAAAGAAACCATTCGCTCAGCCAGGTGTAGCACTGTACCAGCAACTGCCAGTGAGAGGGAGGAAGGAACAAAAATGCAATCTAAAATAAATGGTACGGTATGTAAATTATACCTCAATAAAGCTGTTAAAAGTGAAAAAATAAAGCTACCTGAAAAGTCTAAAAGCTTCATCTCTCAGGGTATTCTAAGTGACAAAAACAGCACTTCAGAAGTAAAGAAATTTGATGTTTGCAATACTCTCAAATGATTCAGGAAAAAAATATTACATATATGGATATACAGGGAGGGAAGGAGTGAGAAAGCAAATGTGGAAAAATGTTAGTAACTGGTTAACTCTGGAGGAAGAGATTCAGGAGTGCTTTGTACTATTTGTACAACTGTTCTGTAATGGAAAGTTTGTAAAAGGCATTAAATTTAAAAGGAAGGTAAATAAAGAGCTAAAATTTCCTAGGCAAGTGGTGAATTAAGGAATTATCAGATAATATTCTTTTTATTGAATTTGGTAAATTGTGCAAGAAAATATTTTTAAAATTACTTCTCCCATAAGCTACCATTGTCATATAGTACTGGGTTACCTTTTAAACAATACATCATCAGTTCTGGTTCCACTTAATATATTCTTCTAAATAACTTAAGTACTTTATTTCTCATAGAATAGCTTTTAATATCATGCAAGCATTAAATTATGAGTACTTGCAAAGTGCTCAATTCATAAATTAAATTAACTTGTGCTTTTTATATATGAATTGAAGATTCCACTATTGTTTTTTAAATAAATAACCACATTTTATTTACCTGTTACAAGGCATTAAAGATATTATAAGTAAATATCTTTATTGCCCAATAACATAGTACATTTCCAAATATCCTCTCCATTTAGAAAAAAAAATTTTTTTTAAAGAAAAAGGATAAAAACTCTCAACAAACTGGGTATAGAGGGAACGTACCTCAACATAATAAAGGCCACATATGACAAGCCCACAGCTAACATCATACTCAACGGTGAAAAGCTGAAAGCTTTTCCTGTAAGATCAGGAACAAGACAAGGATGCCCACTCTTGCCACTTTTATTCAACATAGTACTGGAAATCCTAGCCAGAGCAATTAGGCAAGAAAAAGAAATAAAAGGCATCAAAATCGGAAAAGAAGAAATAAAACTGTCTCTTTCTGCAGATGACATATTATATATAGAAAACCCTAAAGCCTCCATCAAAAAAGTGTTTGAATATGCTAATTCAATAAATTGCAAGACACAAAATCAATATACAAAAATCAGTTGTATTTCTATACACTAATAATGAACTATCAGAAGAGAAATTAAGAAAACAATCCCATTTACAATTGCATCAAAAAGAATAAAATACCCAGGAATAAATTTAACCAATGAGGTAAAAGATCTATACACTGAAAACTATAAGACATTAATAAGACATTGAAGACACAAATAAATAGAAAGATATTCTATGCACACAGATTGGAAGAATTAATCAGGTTAAAATGTCCATACTATCCAAAGCAATCTACAGATTCAAAGCAATCCCCATCATAATTCCAACAGCATTTTTCACAAAAATAAAACAAACACTCCTAAACTTTGTATAAAACCTCCCAAACCCCAAAGCAATAGTATTAGAAAGAAGAACATGGTGAAGACATAACACATCCTGACTTTAAACTATATTACAAAGCTATAGTTATCACAACAGTAGGGTATTAGCATAAAAACACATAGATCAATGGAACAGAATAGAAAGCTCAGAAATAAACCCACATGTATATGGTCAATTAATTAAAAAGCCAAAAATACACAATGGAAAAACAATAGTATCTTCAATAAATGATGCTGGGAAAACTGGACAGCCACATGAAAAATAATGAAACTGGACCCTTATCTCACACCATGCACACAAAAAATTAAACTCAAAATGGATTAAAGACTTAGATATAGGACCTGAAACCATAAAACTAAACTTATTGTGGTAATTACTTTAGAATATAAATATATATATATATCAAAGTATTATTTTGTACACTTTAACTCACACCACACTGTAGGTCAAGTATATCTCAATAAAACCAGAAAACATACTGCAAAAAATGTTTCTAATGATGGAAACAATGTTGATATTTTATGAAATGAAAAGATTACAAAATAATGCTGCTGAGTGAGCTCAGGAATACAAAAGAGATGTACATAGAGTTATGGATAAAAGAGTAAGAAAAGCCAAAACCGGTTTGGCTCAGTGGATAGAGCGTCAGCCTGCAGACTGAAAGGTCCCAGGTTCGATTCCGGTCAAGGGCATGTACCTGGGTTGCGGGCACATCCCCCGTGGGAGATGTGCAGGAGGCAGCTGATCAATGTTTCTCTCCCATCGATGTTTCTAACTATCTATCTCTCTCCCTTCCTCTTTGTAAAAAATCAATAAAATATATTTTTAAAAAAGAGTAAGAAAAATTACCAAAATAATTATAGTGGTTATCTCTGGGTTCTGGGATTAGGGGTGACTTTACTTTATTCTTTGTACTTTTTTCTCTTTTTATGATGTACATGCATTACTTTGGTGTCAGTAACAGTATTATCAAAAACAAACATAGGGAAATGTATAGCACTAAAGTGAAAAAAAAATTAAGTTTATAGACCTGATTTTTAACATTTTTGCACCAAGGAAAACCAAAAATTTTTTGCCCATCCTTGTATAACTTTGTCACAACTAATACTCCAAAATCTGTATAACTTTCAAGTTAATTTTTCCTAATGTTCAAAATTCTACATCATCATATCTTTCTTTGTCTGACTTACATATATAACTCATTTATAAAAAGTAGCATGTCCTAAATTTCTAGAGAGTCTCTTAAAATGGCTATATATGTGCTAAATATTTCATCAGGTTAATAATTATATACATCAATTACTTTGTTTTAAAATATATAATTATACATAATTAGGTTAATAGCTCCAAGCTACTAACATTTAGTATTATATATCCTAACATTTAATATTATCTATTCTTTTTTAAAATGTTTTATTTCTTTTTTTAGAGAGAGAGGAAAGAGAATGAGAGTGAGAGAGAAACATCAATGTGAGAGCAAAACATAGATCAGCTGCCTTTTGCATGCCCCCTGCTGGGGATCCGACTTGCAACCCAGGCATGTGCCCTAACCAAAGAATTGAACCGGCAACCTTCCAGGGCATGGAATCATGCCCAACCTACTGAGCCACATCAGCCAGGACATACACATCTGGCAGTAGAATTTGACATGCCCACTAATCCCGTTTTTCTAAATAGTTTCTATCATATCTCCTTAGCAAATACTAGAGCTCATGCTCTCAGAGCACTGCATCTAGCTCTGGATTCCTCCATAACAGAAGGATGAAAGCTGGTGAGAAACAAGAAAAGGTTCATAAGAAAGTGCTAGGATGAGTTGCTAAATTAATCCCCCCAAAAATCTGAAGGAACAAACATCATCTAGCCTGGAAAAAAACTAAGGAGCTTTTTAGACGATGATTCGCAAATGCGGGGTGGGCACTTAAAAATTGTAAGGGACCTTTTTTTTAAAAAAAAAATATATTTTATTGATTTTTTACAGAGAGGAAGGGAGAGGGATAGAGTTAGAAACATCGATGAGAGAGAAACTTCAAAAAGCTGCCTCCTGCACACCCCCCTCTGGGGATGTGCCCGCAACCAAGGTACATGCCCTTCACCGGAATCGAACCTGGGACACCTGAGTCCGCAGGCCGACGCTCTATCCACTGAGCCAAACTGGTTCGGCTGTAAGGGACCTTTTTTTTAAAAAAAATATATTTTATTGATTTTTTACAGAGAGGAACGGAGAGGGATAGAGAGTTAGAAACATCGATGGGAGAGAAACATCGATCAGCTGCCTCCTGCACGCCCCCCAGAGGGGACGTGCCCGCAACCAAGGTACATGCCCTTCACCGGAATCGAACCTGGGACACCTGAGTCCGCAGGCCGACGCTCTATCCACTGAGCCAAACTGGTTCGGCTGTAAGGGACCTTTTTTTTAAAAAAAATATATTTTATTGATTTTTTACAGAGAGGAACGGAGAGGGATAGAGAGTTAGAAACATCGATGGGAGAGAAACATCGATCAGCTGCCTCCTGCACGCCCCCCAGAGGGGACGTGCCCGCAACCAAGGTACATGCCCTTCACCGGAATCGAACCTGGGACACCTGAGTCCGCAGGCCGACGCTCTATCCACTGAGCCAAACTGGTTCGGCTGTAAGGGACCTTTTAACCACATTCTAGCCTTACTACTAATGCCTTAATTCAGGCCACCAGCATTTTACCCATAACTTGCTGCAGCCACCTCCTGTTACAGATTCTAGTCTTGTCCTTTTCCAATCTACTCTACCACAGCCAGTTAGTTATCTTTCTGAAATGTAATTCTGATCACTGCCTGGCTTCAGTACTTTAATTGCTCTCTACTGCCCTCAAGGCAAAGCCTAAACCCACTATATAGCAACGATTTTCAACCGGTGTGCCACACGAATTTTTAAAACATGAAATACTTGACTATTTAGTCAGGGGCACTGACCTCCTTTCCCTTAGATTATCAAATTAAAAAATGACAACAGCCAACATACAATAGCCATCCAGTGTGAATGAATCAAAATGCTACCTATTTGTTGGTCACATTGGCGAAAATATGTATTTTTTGGTGTGCAGAATTTTAGTAATTAGTTTATGTGTGCCATGAGATGAAAAAGGTTAAAAATCACTGCTCTGTAGGTGTACCTCAGAGATACTGCATGTTCAGGTTCAGACAACTGCAATAAAGCGAACATCACAATAAAGTGAGTTACACAATTTTTTTGTTTTCCCAGTTCATATAATAGTTAGGTTTATATTGTAGTCTATTAAGTGTACAATAATAGCATTATGTCTAAAAAACACTGTACATAATTAATTTAAAATATCTTGGTGTTCTCCCTCTACGGAGCGCGCCAGTGCCTTTCCTTCCCCCTCTACTTCTCCTGGAAAAAAATATCTTATTGTTTATAAATGGTAACCATCACTGAGCCATCAGTGAGTCATGACCTTTTTGCAGGTAGCATCTTGCCTCAATGTTGATGGCTGCTGACTGGTCATGGTGGTGGGTTGTTGAAGGCTGGGGTGTCTGTGGCAACTTCTTAGAATAATAAGAACAATGAAGTCTGCCAGATCAACTGATTCTTCCTTTCACGAACAATTTCTCTGTAGCATGTGATGCCATTTGATAGAATTTTACCCACAGAACTTCTTTCAAAATTGGAGTCAATCCTCTTCCACCCTGTACTACTTCATCAAATAAGTTTATGTAATATTCTAAATCCTGTTGTTATTATATCAATCTTCCCAGCCTCTTCACCAGGAGGAGATTCCATCTCAAGAAACTACTTTCTTTGCTCATCCACAAGAAGTAACTCCTAACCCATTAAAGTTTCACCATGAGATTGCGTAATTTAGTCACATCTTCAGGCTCCACTTCTAGTTCTAGTTCTCTTACTATTTCCACCTCATCTGGAGCTACTTCCTCATAGAAGCCTTGAACCCCTCACAGTCATTCACGAAAGTTGGAATCAACTTCTTCCAAATTCCTGTTTATGTGGACATTTTGAGCTTTTCCCATGAATCATGACTGTTCTCAATGGCATCTAGAATGATAAATCCTTTTCAGGTTTTTAATTAACTTTGCCCTGATCCAACAGAGGAATCACTATCTGTGTCAACTATAGCCTTACACAATGTATTTCTTAAATAATAAGACTTGAAAGTCCAAATTACTACTTATTCCAGGGGCTGTAGAATGGATGTTAGGTTAATAGGCATGAAAACTGTATTAATCTTGTTCATCAGAGCTCTTGAGTGACCAGGGGCATTGTCAATGAACAGTAATATTTTGAAAGGAATCTTTTTTTTTTCCCTGAGCAGGTCAAGAGTGGGCTTAAAATATTCAATAAACCATGTTGTAAACCGGTGTGCTGTCATCCACGTTTTGTATAATTCTTAAGGGCCCTAGGATTGTCTGAATAGTAAATGAGCATTGGCTTCAGCTTAGTCACTAGCTGCTTTAGCCCTTAATAAGAGAGTCAGCCTGTCCTTTGAAGCCAGGCATTGACTTCTCCTCTCCAGCTATGGAAGTCATAGATGGTACCTTCTTTCAATCTAACGACAGCTGTTTAGTCTACATTGAAAATCTACTCTGTGTGTGTGTGTGTGTGTGTGTGATATTAGAGAGAGTAGAAGGGAGAGAAGGAGAGAGGGAGGGAGGGAGAGAGGGAAAAGAAGAAAGAGAGAGAGAGAGAGAGGTATAAAGATCGATGTGAGAGAGACACATTGATTGGTTGCCTCCCACACACACCCTGACCCAGGCTGGGGATTGAGCCTGCAACCGAGGTATGTGCCCTTGATGGGGAATTGAACCCAGGATTCTTGGGTCCTTGGGCTGCTGCTCTAACCACTGACCCAACCCGGCTAAGGGAAAAATCTATTGTTTAATGTAGCCACCTTCATTAATTATCCCACCTAGAGCTTCTGGATAACTTGCTGCAGCTTCTACATCAGCACTTCCTGCACTTGGAGATTACCTTCTTTCCTTAAACACCGTAAACCAATTATCTACTAGCTTCAGACTTCTGCAGCTTCCTCACCTCTCTCAGCCTTCAGAGAATTGAAAAGGTTTAGAATCTTCCCAGGGATTAGGCTTTGGCTTAAGAGAATGTTGTGGCTGGTCTGTTCTTTTACATACAGACCACTACAACTTTCTCCCTATCAGCAACAGGCTGTTTCACTTTCTTATCACTCATGTTTTACAGGAGTAGCACTTTCAATTTCCTTCAAGAACTTTTCTTTTGCATTCACAACTTGGCACAAGAAACCTAGCTTTCGACCTGTCTAGCTTTTGACATGCCTTCCTCATTAAGCTTAATCATTTCTAACTTTTGATTTAAAGTGAGGGACATGCAACTCTTCCTTTCACTTGAACACTTAGAGGCCATTGTGGGATTATTAATTGGCTCAAGGAGAGGGAGAGAGAGGAGAACAGCCAGTTGGTGGAACTGTCAGAACACAAACAACAATTAACAATTAAGTTAACCATCTTATATGTGTGTGGCTTGTGGCAACCCAAAACAATTACAATAGCAACATCAAAAACCACAGATTAAAAAAAAAATCACAGATCATCACAAATATAGCAACAATAAAAAAAGTCTGAAATATTTTAAGAATTACTGAAATGTAACACAGAGACATAAATGAGTAAATGCTGTTGGAAAAATGGCACCGACAGACTTGCTCAACCCAAGATTGCCAACAAACTTTTAATTTGTAAAATAACAGTATCTGCAAAGCACAATAGAGCAAATCACAATAAAACAAGGCATGCCAGTAATGGCCTGTCTGTCTTGTCTTTTGATTTTTTTTTTTTATCTCCCATATGACTATGAATGGTCAGTTTCAAAGTCACAGCTGTATATTCCTGAACTAGTACAGTGCCTGGCATAGTGGGCACACACATACTTACTGAATAAATATATTAAGAAAGTCCTCAAACTGAAAAGTGTTTAACAACAAAACAAATTACTCTTGGTGTTAGTCTCTGTCTCTCCTCCTCCCTTCAACTCTCTCTAAAAACCAATGGAAAAATATCCTCAGGTGAGGATTAACAACAAAAAATTCCACCTCTGGCCTGCCAAGTGTGGGTCATAGATCCAGGAGGTCACTGTTCAATTCCCGGTCAGGGCACATGCCTGGGTTCCAGGCTTGATCCCCAGTGGGGGCATGCAAGAGACAGTCGATCAATGATTCTCTCTCATCATTGATGTTTCTCTTTCTCCCTCTCTCCCTTCCTCTATGAAATCAGTAAAATAAAAAAAACCCACCTCTAATTATAAAAACAAAATACCTTTTCCTTCATTAAATTATAGATAGAATGCTCAATACTAATATTTATTGTATATAAAATTTTAAACATAAAAATCTGAACTCTTATTTAATATCGAATTTCAATGATACATTTGCCCCCTTTATACAATAACAATCATACAAATATATAATGGTATAACTATACTAAAAGAAAAGTGAAGGAAGATTGTAATTTATTGTTAAACTACATCTGATTATAACGGACAAGACTGATAGCTTTTTAGTTTCTTTTTAAGAAGTGGCTGTGCTCCAGGTTAGAATTCAAAGAAAACAACTTTATAACTACATTAGGTGAAGAATAAAATGCAATTCCTAGTAAGATATCCCAGAAATGGCCAATCAAAATTTAGTTAAAAGTAAAACTCAGTTTAAACAAACTGAGTTACATTCATTACCATTTTTGCAATTAAACATTCATTCAAAAACAAAATTGAGATATATATTATACTTACAATCACCATGTTACTTATTAAGAAAATAATGGTCTTAAATACCTCTGTCAAATAAAAATAGATTCTAAAACAAGGAAACTGTAACGCCTTTCTTATTTTGGTATTTAATTCCAGTGGTCTTAGCTAAGTCATTTTTACTTTCTGACCGCACTCCTCCCCACGGGAGGGAGTGGGAAGAAGAAATCTTGGCTTCAAACAAAATAATTCCGATTACGCTGAGAGGTACAACAAAATGGGCGTTGTAATGAGCCATGCTGTGCTGGAGACTATGCTGCATGCTGCTGGCCCTTTGGGGGGGTTTGTGAGACTTGGGCACTTGCTTTGAGCAGACAGAATCCTCTCCCCTCCCCTCCCCTCCCGTCCCCAGGAACTTAAAGTGGGTTAAAAACTGGCTGGCCTGTTCTTTAGAACGGCAATAAGTTACTTGTTACAGTGGCTCTGAAACAACAGCTGAATATGAAACAGGCACCGGCTGTGGGACATCTAGGAACTTGACTGGCAGAGAAGTCAAGCTGAGAGGATGAATGTCCTCTCTGGGATTCTGACACCTTGGAAACTGGGACAAGAATATCTTTTCCCTTCTTTCTCTTTACGACAATGCTATCACAGAGAGTGGACGGGGCAGGAAATGATGGCCCCTTCTCTTCAAAGGGAAGCTTTTGCTTCCATGACCACACAGCATCTATACAAATGATTTGAAAATATAGAAACAGAGTGTCGGATGATGAAATCTCCTTAGCACTAAACTGCAGTTTAAAAAACCACCTTTGTGCCAACCAAGTCTCACCCTCCCTTCCCCAAAGACGTGAGTTTAACCAAAAAAAGGGCAGACCATGCAACTTTTCTACATTTTTAATGCAGTGACTTTCTGATGTTAAAATGGAGCAGCATTAAAGTAATGACCAAAAAAGCAGCTCTTGCAGGCTAATGTCTTAAAATCCACACCCTTTCACCTTGCATGTGTGGAAGAAGAAAGAGCAGAAGGTAAAATCACTTCCACCTGGACCACTGCTTTTCTTTATCTGTTAAAGGCACGTATATCACTCCCATCAGAGGTTTCATTTTGACACTGCCATCTTGCAGCTTGTCGTACTGCTCCAGCATCTGATTTCCACCCGCAGGACCGACTGGCAATATCAATCTTCCACCAGGCTTTAACTGGTCTATTAGCTAAAAGAAACAAAAAGAAAAAACACATACATACAGATTTTTTTTCATCTTTATGAACAGCCTTCAGTGTCCATGGGCAGAAAGTATAAACGTACTTTATTTGGTACACATATATTTTGATTGTCAAACTTATCACTCAATTCTCACTCATCACCTCTCTCCTGAAAACGATGCCCAGCGTCCTAGATCCTCTGGCTTCCTCGTTTTGGTTTCTGCTACTATCTCTCTCCTTCCTCACTTTTTTTCTGATGTAATTAAAGCAACTCCTCCAGAAGTATTCAGTGAAATAGTGCATGGAATATTTAAGAGAGAGTGGTTTGAGATTTGCAAGTCTAAAACTATCTTTAGTCTACATATTTGGCAATATGTGTGCGTACGGAATTCAAGGTTAGAAATCATTTTCTGTTTAGAACTGTGATGGTCTGTTCCCTTGCCCTGTTGATTCTAATGCTGCTATTCTGCAGTCGGGTGCCTTTCTGATTACCAATCCTTAATAGATTTATCCTTTTTGTTTTCCTAAAAACTTTTAGAATCTTTTCTTTATACTTAGTATTCTGAAATTTCATAGTGATATTATGGTTCTTTTTTCCTTTTAAAAAATTAATTGTACTGGACACTCAGTTCTTTTCAAACTATAGAATCATGTCCTTCAGTTCCTGAAAAATTTCTTACTTAAGACTTAGGGGCTAATTGTTTCTTATAAGAATTTCAAGCCCCTCTTTTCAGACCCAGGCCTCCTCTCTGATTTCCCAGGTACCACTGCCTCCAATTTCTAAGCTTCTTCTGCAAACTACTTCTACATTGACAGCCTCTGCTGCCTCTTTGGTTTCACTTCCTCCACCTTCCTGGGTCAATTATTACTCCATTTCCTTTCTTTCTTCATACATTTCAGAGTTCAGGACTGCAAGTATACTCTCTTAGATAGTTGAACATAGAATTTATGTTCCTGTTTTTGTTTTTCTACTTGTTTTGGGGTGACATCAAAGAGGAGCATAAACATCTTTACTGTTATCTTAAAACTGGAAAGCCCCTTCAACATATATAAAATATTCCTATAATACTTACAAGTGCTACTGTGTTTAAAATCATATTGCATTAAAGCTAGAAATGTCCTTTGAGATCATCTCAGGGTCTTAGTAGAAAACATGAGTCCTGTACCCAAGCCCCTTCATTTAAACACATTTCTATTTGAGATTTTAATTGTTTGTAACAGGCAGCTGATATTCTTTTTTAAGTTAAAAAAACAAGCTACTGCCTAGCTGGCTTGGCTCAGTGGATAGAGTGTCCGTCTGCGGACTGAAGGGTTGCGGGTTCAATTCCAGTCGGGGGCACATGCCTGGGTTGCAGGCTCGATCCCCAGTGGGGGCATGAAGGCGGCAGCTGATCAATGGTTCTCTCTCATCACTGATGTTTCTATCTCTCTCTCCCTCTCTCTTCCTCTCTGAAATCAATAAAAATATGTTTTTTCAAAAAACAAGCTACTGATCATGTGTGTTCATATATGAAAATTCTTTGAGCTACTTATTTATGACAGTGGTTCTCAACCTTCTGGCCCTTTAAATACAGTTCCTCATGTTGTGACCCAACCATAAAATTATTTTTGTTGCTACTTCATAACTGTAATGTTGCTACTGTTATGAATCGTAATAAGCTTTGTTCAAAGTTTGGGCAAATACTATGAAAGACAAAAAAAAAGTCTTCTCTTCTTTTTCTTTTAACTTAAGTTTCCAAGTCAAATTTTATAATCACATTTAGGGTCACTGAACTTAATGCACACATTTTATATAAAGAAAAAAAAGAGTATTATAATTGGTATCCTTTATACTACAAATAAGGCATAGTAAAGCCTTAAATTACTTGCAATAATAGATCAGAAGGAAATATGTCCTTTTATATTATACTAGTGGCCCAAAATTCGTGCACGGGGAGGGGGGTGTCCCTCAGCCCAGCCTGCACCCTCTCCAATCTGGGATGTCCGACTGCCAGTTTAGCCCTGATCCAGGACCACTGGCTCTAAGCACTCCCCTGCCTGCCTGCCTGATTGCCCCTAACCACTCTGCCTGCCAGTCTGTAGTCACCTCTTACTGGCTCCCCCTGCTGGCCTGATCACCCCCAACTCTCCCCCTCTGCCAACCTGATCGCCCCACGCAGCCTGCTATTCAGTCATTTGGTCGTCCCTCACTAAGCCCCCTGCTGGCCTGGTCACCCCTCACTAACCCCCCTGCAAGCCAGGTTGCCCCACACAGCCTGTTGTTCAGTCATTTGGTCGTCCCTAACCCCCCCTGCTGGCCTGGTCGCCCCATGCAGCCTGCTTGTTCAGTTGTTTGGTCATCCCTCACTAACCCCCCTGCCAGCCTGGTCACAGGCAGCCATCTTGTGAGAGTGTGAGGGTTTAATTTGCATATTACCTCTTTATTCTATAGGTTTATTTTTTTTTGACTTGTATACTTTCCTACACCATGTTACTATTTCAATTAAAATGTGTTTAAAATCCACTGGTTTTGTCTTTAAAAAAACCCCAAAATACAGATGACAGAGCCAGAGAGAATAAATGATTTTCCCAAAGTCATTTAGCCAGTAAGTAGAAGTCAATGATTAGAACAAATTCTCCAACTTTCAGCTTCTCATAACTGATCTAAACATAAAAAAACAACCCTTCCCAGGTTGGAGAGTGGATGAGTCCCAGCCGAAAAGACAATGTGACTAGTCATCTCTAGTCAAGAACTATGTAAAATTCCTATGTAATAGAAACCCAAGATTTCAGTGAGCTTAACCAAGGATTACTAAGGGCTGATACAAGCTTATCAGAGTCTTACAAAATGAAAAATCAATTTTGTACTTAAATATTTCCTTGACTACTGTAATATACAATACTGCATTATCCTTCCCTCTCATTGCAGCAATGCAAATTCTCCCATTCTGAAGATCTGTTCAAGTTCCATTCCTGTATGAAGTCTCCTTGACCACTCTATGCAAATTCTTTTTGCTACCTTGAACTCCTACAGTAGGATTTTATTTTTCATTCAAGATATGTCATATGCTAATGATATGATATCACATAACTAATCTCCCTGTTACATGTATGATACATCTCTTCTAGGGTATAAGCTTTGTGAGGGTAAAATATATGACAAATATCCCTGGTCTCTCCCAGGAACCTAATAGTCTTGCATATTCTGGTATTTAATAAATGCCAAGTGATTATCAGGTCATGAACTCCAAAGGTATTTTCCCAATTCCACTGGTAGACTCATTCTTTGCTGGATAAAATACTGCTTCAAAAGACAGACATAAGCTGGGGTTTAGTAACATTGATGTCATTTATACAACTATTTGCATATGGAAAAAGTATTAGCTACTAACTGTAACTAAAATGCATGACATAAAAGTCTATGTTCTTGCCCTAACCAGTTTTGCTCAGTGGATAGAGCATCGGCCTGCGGACTGAAGGGTCCCGGGTTCGATTCTGGCCAAGGGCATGTACCTTGGTTGCAGGCACATCTCTAGTGGGAGGTATGCAGAAGGCAGCTGATTGATGTTTCTCTCTCATCGATGTTTCTAGCTCTCTGTCCCTCTCCTTTCCTCTCTGTAAAAAATCAATAAAATATATATTTTTTTAAAAGTCTATGTTCTTAACGTCTAGAAGTCACTTATCTACAAATCTTTGAGAGTTTTAGTTGAATAAAGCACACAAACACAGAAAGAAACAACTCACTGCCTGGGGCACAACGGGGGCTGCAGCGCCTACGTGAATAGCATCATAAGGGGCTTCTTCGGCATATCCCATTCTTCCATCCCCCACTGAAAGAAAAACATTACGCTTTTAATACCTGTTCAGATAGAACGACTTAGTGTGAAGATTTTACAGCAGGAAAGAATAGTTTTGTTTGTTTTTAAACAAACAACTCCTTTTGTTTGTTTTTTGTTTCTTTAAAGAAATGATGCTGGACAAATGAATATGCATATGGAAAAAATATATACTTGGACCCCTCCACCTCATACATACACAAAAATCAATGTCAGGAAGATCAAATACCTAAGTATGAAAAGCTAAAATAACAAAGTTTTTGAAAAATAATATAGAAGAATGTCTTCATGATTTCAGAGTAGCCTTAAGCAGGACACAGAAGCACTGGAAAAAATTGTTAAGTCTAGCTACATTAAAATTAAGATTTCTATTTATCAAAAAAGTACCAATATGAGAGTGAAAAGGCATGCCACATAGTGGGAGAAGAGATTTATAATATGCATAAATAGACAAAGAGCTAGTCTCTAGAAGTTCTACAACTCAAAGAAAAATATAAACAACTCAGTATCTGAACAGGCAGTTCACAAAAAAGGAAATTTAAATGCCCAAACATATGAAAAAGTGTTCAACCTCACTGGTTAATAGTAAAATACATAATTAAAATCACAGAGATACTGCTATACACTCACTAAGTAGGCACAAAGAAAAATCTAATAATGCCAAGTGTTGGTAGAGATGTAGAACAATAGGAACCCTGATACATTGCTGGTGGGAATGTAAAGTGGTTCAATCACTTTAAAAAATAAAAGTTTTGCAATATCTAAGGGAACCCTGTGAACATACAATAACACTCCTACATACTGTATAATGTATATATGAATCTGGACTTAGGTATACATGTGGTCACAGCAGCATTGTGAATATCCCCAAGTTAGAAACAACCAAAATACACATCTACAGTAGAATTAACAAATTTTGGTGATGTTCTTACAATGGAATGCTGTACAGTAATAAAAATGAACTGTATGCAGAAAGATGGGTGAATCTTACACACAAAATACTGAATGAAAGAAGTTAATCATCATAGAATGTATACTGCATGATTCCATTTGTCTAAAGTTCAAAATTAAAGGAAACATTTTTTTTTTGGATGTACAATTAGGTGGCAAATGCATGGAAATAATAATATTGGTTACCACTAGGGAGAAGGGAGGGAGTTATGATGAGGAAAAAAGAAACTTGAGGATATCCAAGGTACGAATAATGGGGAGGGAGTTATGATGAGGAAAAAAGAAACTTGAGGAGTTTCATTTCCATTTCTTGATTAGTGTGGCAATTAAACAGATATTTATTAAGCTTCACATTTATGCTTTATGCATTTTTAATGTTTTTTTATTTTTCACAATACAAAATGTGCTCCTATGGAAATATGTCCATTGTATATTGCTGAATGGAAAAAAGTAAACTATAGGTCAATATATATAGTATGAGTTAAAGAAAACTGTGTGTGCTATTTATTCATACATGTATTTATATGTCTAGAAAACTTAAAAGGAAAAGGAGTGGTTTCCTTTTTTATCTTACACATCTCTGCACTGTTTACTTTTTTTTATAATGAATACTTGTTACTTTGTCATTACTTAAAAAGCAATGAAGAAAGAACTCAACATGGCACTTTCTGAAACAGTTAACAGTCATGTCACCCATGGTCAAGGTAGAACTAGCATAACATTTTTAAGTAACTGTTTTTCTTACTTAGTACTTTGAAGTGAATGTTTTAAAAATGCAGTAATTAGCTCTATTATTTAGCTGCATTGGGAACATCTGAAAATAAAAATTCTGCAGAGAGGAAATTTTTTAAGTTTTCTGATACTCACCAACCAGTTGCACTCTCCCTGAAGACAAAAGTGTTGGATCGTCCTTTCTGACATTATTTATTGAGTCGTCTACTAACTCTTTAATGTGGTCAATTCCTACGACTTTTCCACTAGCTCCAACCTAGAAATGAGAATAATTCAATAGCTCACTGGTCTAAATTTGTCGTTCTAAATGTCATTAAAGTGCTTCCTAATGTAAAGTTATATTGTGCAATGAGAAATGAAGACAATTCGGTTTATTATAAATTATTTAGCTATTACAACCTTCTCAACTCTAACTCACAAATGAATTAATTATATTTCACGAATTAAAAAGCTAGAATAAATTTTAATTATAATACTAAAAAAAAACCGCTATCATTCTTCAATTTATAATCTTTAAATCCAGCACCATGATGGAGGACTTAACTGCCAATATTAAATAGTAGTTAATGCAATCATTTTTACTCAAAGTAAATCTAGAAGTGTGACTTTAAATATTAAAATTACAGCTCTGGCTGGGTGGCTCAGTTGGTTGGAGCATTGTCCCATACACCGAAAAGGTTGTGGGTTCGATCTCCTGTCAGGGTGAGTATGGGAGGCAACTGATTGATGTTTCTCTTTCTCTTCCTTTCTCTAAAATCAGTAAACATATCCTCCCGTGGGGATTAAAATATATACATATTAAAATATATATAAATGTTACATGACATTTTATAGAGATTTAAGTAATTTTAATAGGGATTTTTATACCTGATTCTACTGCCATTTTGTGGAAAGTATAAAATACATAAAAAATTATAAAAAGGCCCCAATATAAACATTAATTGTAAAAATTTTTTAACATAATAAAGACTGATGTCGGACTACCTGGGTTCACATCTAAGTTTCATTACTTACAAGTGTATAACCTTGGCAAGTGATTCTATGAATCAGGTTCCTCAGCTTTGTAAAATGAGAAGTAAAAGCTATATACTTCATTAATGATGTGAGGATTGAATAAGAGAATACAGGAAAAGCATTTAGAACACTGACTAGCACATGCTAAATGTGCAAAAATCATGAACTTAAATTACTTCATTGTTAAAAAAAAACTCAAAAATTTAATGATTTTTAAAAAATAAATTTTCCTCTGAAACCATAAATATGTCAAATATAGAAAATCTCTCACTAAATATTTCTAAGCTTTAAAAAAAAATAGTCCCTTACATCCCATTGGTGATGCTTAACTTGTACAAAACAAGTTAAAAACACTGAACTATCGGAATCCTTATTATGTACAAGACACTGTTCTGGATGTTTAAGACATGCCAAGGAGAAAAATCAGACGAAACTCCCAGCTCCCTGGAACTTACATGCTAGTGGTCTGCTGATTATACATTTAGCAAGTTAAATGGATTCTTGTCCAAGATGGATCCATAAGTCCCAACCTAACTAAATCAGAAACTTCCAATCTGGCCTCCAGGGACAAGATTTTCCATAATTAACTTGATTTGATTACCTGTGCAGATGAACCCTTCCTCAAGGTGTGTGAATGGACCTCCAGACTTACACTCTGGTGGTCATTTACCAGATAAGCCTCTGGTGAATAATGAAGTATAATAAACAAGGCATTTTTCTAAGAGTACTTTTCTTACTGTAAAGGAATCTCTACCCTCGTTCCTAATAAACCTGTAGGAGTGTTTATTTTCTGCCAGATGAAAACTTGGAAGAATGTAGTCTGGGAGCTACTGGTTACCATACCATCTTTGACCACAAGAGAAGAGCCACTCTGATAATGAAGCCAACATGTGGAGAAAAGGAAAGCCAAACCAAGGACCACAGAGAAAATCACTGTCAGTAACAATATCTGATCTGAATCCAGCCACACAAGAAGCCAGATACACCTTAAAATGTTTCCATGATATAAACCAAATAAATTCCCTTTTAGCTCTGCCAGTTTAGATAGACTGTTCTGTCACTTGCAACAACAACAACAACAAAAAATCCTAGTGCTATATATTCCAACTGCCTTCTCGGTAGAATTTCTTTTTAAAAAAAAAAAAAACCACAAAAAAACACCTTCAGAAACTGGTAATGAAAAAAATATACAGTCAAATCATAAGTAGGACATGTAAAACTATGCTTCTGTTGGGGCCAGAATGAAAAATAAAGGTCTTACCATACGTGCAAAACATGCAGAAAGGATTCCACTTCCAGATCCTACATCAAGAGCTTTAGCTCCTTCATGCAGTTGATCAAATAGAAGTTCTAGTGCATATGCATGCTGCCAAAAGAAAACAAAGCAATATTCACTTTTTTCAAGAATATAAAGTATATGCCCTAGTCCGTGGTTGGCAAACTGCGGCTCGCGAGCCACATGCAGCTCTTTGGCCCCTTGAGCGTGGCTCTTCCTAAGCCTTAGGAGTACCCTAATTAAGTTAGTAACAATGTACCTAACCTATATAGTTTAAGTTTAAAAAAATTTGGCTCTCAAAAGAAATTTCAATCGTTGTACTGTTGATATTTGGCTCTGTTGACTAATGAGTTTGCCGATCACTGCCCTAGCTGGTTTGGCTCAGTGGATAGAGGGTTGGCCTGCGGACTAAAGGGTCCCAGGTTTGATTCTGGTCAAGGGCACATGCCCAAATTACGGGCTTGATCCCCAGTGCGGGGCATGCAGGAGGCAACTGATCGATGATTCTTTCATCATTGATGTTTCTATCTCTCCCTCTTCCTTCCTCTCTGAGATCAATAAAAATATATTTTAAAAAAAAGAATATAAAGTATATATACCATGGCATATGAATTAAGTTGCCAACTTCATACCAATGTTACTACTATTGTCATCTATCGAGACAACGAAAACATATAGTACTTACATCTACACAGGAATGACTTAAGAATAATTCTCACTGTTTGATTAAATTCTTACATTTATTTAAAATGTTTCAGTAACTTTTTATCTCCAATGTGTGAATTTTAAAATGTAATTACTGCAAAGTCAAAAGTTATAAAAGGACTTATAGTGAAATCTCTATCATAGCCCTGTTCCAACCTTCCCCATTCCCATCCCCATCCCCAACCAGTTTCACTCCCTAAAGACAACCAATATTACCAGTTAAGACAATATTAAGGAATATTGTTGGGTATGATGTGGTATTGTAGTTGTGCTTTTAAAGTTTTTCATATTTATACTAAAGTATCTAGGGGTAAAATATTATGTTTGAAATTTGCTTTAAAATGCTTCAGCAAAAGGAAATCATATTGATTCTTTTGCAAAGATTCTTGTCTAAAGAGTGAAAACAACCAGTACTATGAAAAAGAGTTCTGGATGAAACGCCATTAAGTACTGGATTCTACTGGTTCTGAATTTATTAGCCCTGTGACATTGGAAATTATTTTTAGCTCATGGTTCCTCAGTTTCCATTTCATTAATATGGAGAGAAAAACAGTTGTTCCTATCCTGCCTTCTCCACAGAAGTATCATTGTGAATAAAAGTCATGATGCATTAAAAAAGTACTTTATAAATTCTAAAGGATTTACAAATGAAATGTATACTTTTACATTAAGAAAAAGTCAACCATTACAGCACAATGACTTGCTGCTGTTACTCTTTAAGGTACTTCACAGTCATTTATAAAGGTAAAAGTAACAATTAATTGATCTTTTATTTCTATTTAGTGTTACTTGGTAAACTCTTAGTTAATCTTGTATATAACTGTCAATCAGTGGCTTCACTCTGCTCTTTTGCTTGATTAGAGAATGAAATGACTTGGTTAGTCAAAATGACCAAAGTTCACTTACCATGTGTGGAGCACTGATTGTTGCTTGGAAACCTGCAAAAAAAGAGGAGAACTACTGATACATTCAGCTGTAGAAGCATACCAAATACTCCACGTAATTCCTTTTCTAACATCCATAAGTTACTTTTCAGAATAATTTTCATTTTTACGATCACAAGAAAACAAAACTTTTATTTTGAACTTCGTCATGCAGCAGTTAAAATTAGGAAATCCAATCATGCCAAACGCTACTGTGCTCTTCTAGGACAACAGGCCCACTATTTTTAAAGATTTCTTCTCCTGGCTAAGAAAGGAAGAATTTCAGTAAGTTGAGTCGACAAGTTTATAACTTGTTTTCTCTTCAGACTTACAAAAATAAAATAAGCTTCTATATATAATAGGTATGCAAAATCTTTGCAAAATTAAACTGCTTCATATTTCTGGCAACTTAAAAATAAACTAGAGCAACCAGCAAAGTGGCTTAAGAGACTAAGAAACTATTTCAATTTACTCTTATGCCCTCACCTAATGTCAATGCACACAATCTTTTCTTAGTTTTCAGCTTTCAATTTGTTTCTTCCGGGACTGCTTTCTCAAAATGTATTTACCTGCTTCTGCCTCTGAAGCAATTTTCACTGAGCGGTGGTAGCAGGTGCCTTCGGGTTCAGAAGCCCCCAGGATCTTCTCGCTGACTGTCATAGTGCTTCAAAAGAAGAAAGCATGGCAGCTGGCTGACAGAATCCTGAGGCACTTCTAAGCCTCAAAGGCGCCCACTGCCAAGGCTCAGCAGTTCAGCAAAAAACCTGCTTCAGGAGAAGGAATTAAATATGGAACTTTCTAAAATCAAGCACAAGTCAAAAAATTCAGGGCAAGTGAAGCAGAGAAGTCAATGATAACTTAAGTACACTTATCTTTAGTACTAATTTTTAAAATTGATGCTAATGGGAAAAACAACCTTAGTCAACATTAAGGCTCCTAAAGACAACTCAGCACTCAGCTTAAATCGCATAAATTTTCATTAAAAGTATATTTTCAGAAAATTTGTTTTTAAAATTCTCTACATATATTATATATTTGAGAAAATAGAAAAGGTGCTTCATAAGCATATAATGCTTTATTATAAAGGTATAACATTCAAACCAGCAAGGCAATAATAAATACCTGTGTCCTAGTCTATTTTTACTTACAAAAATTATAGAGTAAATGAGTAAAAACTGACATTTTCAGAAATTCAAAGCTTACCTATTGATTGTGGAGAATCCATATAAGGGTTACATTTTGCATAGTGGGCACGGTCCGTAGCCAGCATTACTTCAAATACTTTATCTGTCTTGATGATTCCATTTTCTGAAATGAATGAGGCAAATATTTAAAGCTGGGAATAAGATGATCAGATATGCCCAGCTGGTGTGGCTCAGTAGTTGAGCATGGACCTATGAACCAGCAAGTCACGGTTCAATTCCAGGTCAGGGTACATGCCCAGGCTGCACTGGGTGTGCATGAGAAGGCTGATCAATGATTCTCTCTTATCATTGATGTTTCTATTGCTCTCTCCCTCTCCCTTCCTCTCTGAAATCAATAAAAATATATTTTAAAAAAAGATGATCAGAAGTATTTTAGAATAATTATTTTGGCTGCACTGTAGATGCTGAATTGGAAGAGAACAAGATCGGAAGTTATTGCAATAGTCCACGTAATCACAACCTGTTCTTCAATGATAACAGTAAGAATGAAGTAGAAGGACTTGAGACATACTTGGGAGGTAATAGGGTGGGCAAAGGTAGGTTTCCAATTGTTCATATGGAAAATAATACAATAATCAAGAAATAATAATATAAGAATAAACTGTTTCCTGTACTCACAACTGTAAACCTTCTTCTACCCCACCCTGTATGTGTGTGTATACACCACACACACACACACACACACACACACACCTGACTGACTAGATTTGTAAAAGGGGAGGGGGAAAGTGTTTTAGATGCTGTCATATATTGATTTGAGAAATCTGGGAGAAGGACCAGAGTTAAGGAGGAAAAGGATAACTAATTTATACAGTTAGGGGCTATGGACCACACAAATGGAGATAGTCAGTTGAACACATGAATCTGGGGCTCAGGAAGAGATCTAGGAGAGATATAGATTTCTAATTATGTAGATGGCAACTGAAGCAATGGAAGTGAACTAAAGTGGCCAGAAGAGATCACACCGAGAAGAAAAACGAATGTAAACATTTGAGATGCAAAGGAAGTGGAGCCTTCAAAGATTATGACAAGGAGCAACCACAGAGGTGGATGAAAATCAAGCAGATAAATTACAGAATCCAAGAGAAACAAAATTTTCAAAAGCAAAGCAAGGTTAATAATATACATTTGGCTCCCCCGCCTATCAATTCTTTAAGGTTAAATATGTAGTACAGTGGTTCTCAACCTTGGCTGCACATTAGAATCACCTGGGAATCTTTTTGAAATCCTGATTTCTGGGCCTCATCCTCTGGAAATTCTGTTTCTTTGTTACTAATGTTGTGGCCTCACCCCATAACAAAGAAACAGAGTTTCCTGAGGATGAGGCCCAGAAATCAGGATTTTAAAAAGATTCCTAGGTGATTCTAATGTGCAGCCAAGGTTGAGAACCACTGATGTAGTATGTTAAATTTCAATAACCCTCATGGTAGCATGCACATAGTTAACTTTTCAATAAAGCCCTTATTAACTCAATATGTTTATTGACTATCTAGTACACACCAGACACAGACATGCTAAGGATTATCTATACTAATAAAAGGGTAATATGCTAATTAGACTCGACGTCCTTCTGGACAAAGCCATGGTGGCAGGGGCCAAGGCAGAGGTGGTTAGGGGCGATCAGGCAGGCAGGCAGGCAAGTGGTTAGGAGCCAGCAGTCCCGGATTGCGAGAGAGTGCAGGCCGGGCTGAGGGACTGGAATTTCATGCACTGGGCCTCTAGTAAGAATAAATAACATAGCATAGTTCCTGTACTCACAGACCTAAAATCTGTAAGACTTGATTTTAATAATTCAGAAATAAATTTTTTAACCAAAACAGGTTTTGCTGAAAACCACTACATTTAAAATTTTTAATGGGTGAATGATATGGTATGAAATTATACTTTAGAAAAGTTGTTTTAAAAAAAAAATAGTGGGACTAAAGGCCGCAACCAGGAGAAGCATTATTTCTGGGAGACAATCTGGTAAGCAGGGAAAGGATGGTGCCTCTTGAAGTGATAATGAAATGAAATAAGCAAGAAAATTAAGGATCCCACAGAAACAAAAGAGCAAGATCCGCCAACTCCTTCCCTTTTCCCACTACTACTATCAATATCGTCCATCAGTCATTAAGGAAACTGCAAGTCACCATACTGACAAAAGTTGCTCTTGAGTTGTAAAAATAGGAAAAAGAAAAAACTCCATTCAAATCTATGGGAAATGAAAGGCAAATAAAAACATTTCAGCTGATTTAACAGAACCTAATATTTAAAACTATGTTCTAAGAAAACTTAGCAGAACGTGAGTAAAAGTATTACCAGAAACAACACCAAGACATCCACCAATAAAACTATCAGACTTTGAAAAAACCAAGATGGCGGCATAGGTAAACACCGGAGTTTGCTGCCTCGAACAACCACTTCAAAAATACAACTAAAAGACAGAACGGACATCACCCAGAACCACAGGAAGGCTGGCTGAG